TATCCCTTTTACCTAGCGCAACGAAGAGAAGGGCTCTTGGAGCTTCGCCCTTCCCTCAGAAGCCAACCAAACACATTCACAAATAGGCTGTACTAATTTCTACTGTAACAAAATTTATTCAGTATCTCTAATCTTTTAAATAACTGATAAAGCAACCAATAAAAATAAATGTTTAATTTGGCATAAATAATTGTTTTATGAAAAATCATCCCAGTCGGCAAGACACTACACCTCCCCTACAAATATTCTTGTTGCGCCAGTTTCTTTTACTTCCTTTTCCCTTTCTTTAATTTTCTTTATTTCATGAAATGATTTATTTCAAATTTTCTAATTTATTATCAGTCAGTAATTTTCAAGACGATAAGGGGTAGTTTACTCTTCGATAATCAATTCCACATTCTTTGCAAATAAAACTTTATGAATCTCTTCGATCTTGTGTCGAAAGTCATAAAAAAACAACCAAAGAGAACGAACACCAAAAATAATCAACATACTCAGAGTATTAAATACTTTCGTATAATATTTTTTACAGATTAGTATTTTCACATGAAAATTATTTGTTTTTCGTCTATACAGCCGAAAAGAAGACACTTTGGATCACGAAATATTCTATTTCGTTCATCTACTTATTTTCAAATTAGTTCTTACCTTAAATTTAGCTATAAGAACCATGCTTTTAGTCGTTCACGTTGCTAAAAATATTGAACAATATGTATTTTAGCATTCATACGTGGGTAAAACAATAACCTGGCGGCAGTGTTTGTAATTGACTTCAAGGGCAGTACATTTAGAATGAGACTATTTTTATACATTTGCACCATACTTTTCAATGTACGTGGTCCATTATAGAATCTGCGATTCGATACCCTCAGAGAAAACAATTTTCGATTGAGCAGACAGCCATGTGCGCTTTGCGACCTCTCACGGAGGTAGGAGGAAAAATCGTTGCAATCTTACAGCATCAATAAGTGGACTAAAGCATTGACATGTAGTACTACACTGTCTAGGTCCTATCTCGTAACGTTGGGGCAAGAGAAGCAAAAATCTTGCGATCGTCGCTATCTTATTATATTATTTTCCGTTTAGTTAACGAGATATGCTCTTTAATTTCATGAACAATTGTTGTATATCTTTATGTTTATGTCAAGCGTGCAATTAAAACTTCACCGTACAAGTAAAAGTCCACAACCACTAATCAGAACTCAGAAAAATGGTGAAAATCGTTTATGTCTCTACTAAAAAAACCTGGCTGACCAGGATTTTCTACATATCCAATACTTCTAAAACACGTCATTGTATCGCTTGCAGATATGGGACACAAGGCGACTTGAGACTGAATAATAACATTGTCAATTTTGTTAAAATAAAGCCGAGCCTCTAAATTTTTTTACAAGCAAATACTCTAGATGAAAGTTGGAAAATATATTATTTTATGAACAAGTTGTGAAGTTTTTCCTTTTAAATGTCAGAAATATGTGTAATTTTCATTTATTGATGATATCGTCTATAAATATGTTAGATGATAATATATACGATTGATTCTGGTTAAGACAGGTTTTACTGTAGTGAGAAACATTTAAGCTATATTATTTTATTTAGATGCAAATAATTTGCCCTCATTCTATTTTTCGGTATCAAAGACCCACAAAACATGTATTCTGGCTACACCGTGTGTTTGATGATTTTTTTCTAAATTTAGCAACTGGATTCATCCCCTTTGTCGTTGCCAGGGCCCTATAATATGAGTTTGTCTGCCGAAAATTCGCCGTTTTCCCCTCGCAGCATTACATAACTTTCTCTCTACTCCACAGGGAGAAGCTCTTCCGCTCCTCGCATTCCCCGGGACTGGCGCGGGATATTCGTTTTTCTACCAACTCTATAGGTGGTGTCGGCTGCGAAGGCCTGCACCGGCGGCGACGCGTCGCACTGCAGTGGCGAGGGTGGGAGGGCTGTTCGCGCTGCGCCGTGGTTGCCGCAACCCGCTGCCGTTCTCGGACCATGAAAGGAAATTGTGGATCCGTTGAGTCACGCGACGTCGGCAACGGAGACGAAGTCGGTCGAGACTGCGTCACTCAGTCGGGTCCAGATGCAGGCGCGCAACACACACGCTGCGAACGCTAAGGGACTGGTCGTTGGGAGGGAAACCCGGATTCTTCCCAATTACTTGCATCGAAAGTGAAAATGTGCCTTAAAATTGACATCACGCACTAAAAAAAAACAACGAATTTGTACACCGAAAGGTGCAGCCTCACACATTCCCCTACTGACCGAAATGACAGGACTTTTGAATAAGTTGATTTTAAAGAAACTCGATGCTAACGGCAGTGTTTCCTCTTTAACAGTGGAATGGGGCTCATGGCTTCCCTAGAAGGTGATGACACATGATTGTCTACAGCAATAAAAGACAATATTTCCATTAAGTAAGTTATAAATAGCTATAAAAAACTATAAATCAAAAAAATTTTAAAAAATCTAAATTCATCCAAAATTAAAAATTATCCAAAAAAATCATCAAGCAGACTGTCACTACACCTGTAGCTACTTCTTTCGCCACAGAAAAATCCTAACTGCGCCACTGCTCTTCTTTGATTTATTCAGCGATTTTTAATTTCTTGCCTACGTAGTGAAGAGAAAGTATTGTAATGCTGCAGTGGAAAGTGGCATTTTTTTTCGACAGAAAAACTCGTATTGTGAAAGTCTGGTTTCGATCAATTGGATACATTTTGTCCCTTTATATAACTTTCTCTAACGACTTGCGTAGTCAGAATTCACGTTTTTCTGGTTCATGATCCCACGACATTGTTTTACGACAAAACGTCTGCTGTCCGTCCGTGATCAACGCTAGCACTTAAATCGTTCAGATGATTTTCTGCAAAATTGGTATTCCCTAATCGATCTGGATGAACTAAAGGCCTTGCGAATTTGAAACTGGTATTTTGAATTTGGGGCTTCCTTTACACAAAACCTTAGAAAATATTCTCAATAACGGCTCCCATTGTTTTCTTTAAATTTACCTCGGATAGAGCAAAGGACGCTTAACAATGGGGTTCGTCTCATTTTTCAATGAAAATATGCATATAGAAGCAGGTTTCACTCTTTAATAATATTTATAAAGTCATATTTAAATTATTTTAGTAGGCTTCAAAAAAGAAAACGTAAAAAAATCTCTAAACGTAAAAAGGCGTCAACAGGTAGTAGTGGAGCTAGGAAGAGGGTAGGATAAAACCGAAAAGCTGGAACAAACTAAAGAGAAAACTAATTAACATGAGAAAGTCTGTGCCATTCTGCAGCAACAATAGTACTATTATGTCACATATTAACATTGTACGTAGAAAGTAGGTATTGTAATTCTGCGGGCAAAACCGCGACTTTTCGACAGATAAACACGAACTCTGGTAACAAGCTAACGAAAAAGTGGATACTTATAGTTCCTAAATGCAGCAAATTACTTCTTCTAACATGTTGAGTAGCCAGGATCTACGTTTGGTGTGTCCTTGATATCAAAAAAATAGTTTACCCTACGGCAAAACTGTTTGATAACTGTTTCCTAATAGTAGAACCGAAATATTACTTTAAGAATACTCGAGAAAAGTAACACCTCGTCCTAAATGGCAATTTTCATTGAAGAATTTGGAGCCGTTTTTAAGAAAGTAAACAGCAGTCGACTGTATGGGTATTTCAAGATGAGCAAAATCGTAAAAAACAAACTGAGAGGTCAACGTTTTTTGACACCTGAAGAAGCGGTTGCTGTATTCAGAATGCGTTTTGGAGATACCTCAATCAGAGTGGCAAAAGTACTTCGACAGTTAGTTCAAAGCAAAGAAAGATGCACCATTCTTTATAGAATATAAAACTACTTCTGGTGAAGAGTTCCAGCAGATCAACACCAGGCAACAATGCAACATGTTTTCCTCAGACAGGAAACTTGAATTTGCAAAAGGCTTGTAAGAAACACCCTGACAGAACTAAGACCAAGGAGGACTTGCTTACCAGATTCCTTCCCAATTTTATAACTATTATAGATATATCATTACAGAAAACTCAAACGATTGTGAAACATTATAACATGAAACTGGTTGTATAAGTGACAGTTCCTATTCTATATCAAAATTGTTAAATGGAAATAATTTTGTACCAATTTTATTCCTATTATTAAGTAAGTTTATCAATTGAAAGTTAAAAAAAAATAAAGATAAACAAATGCAGTCACTAAAGTAATGGAAATAGTGAACATTTGTGTTTGCCACATGCTCAATAACTAATTACCATTTCAACAAATACTGAGTAGAAAACTGCCATAACGCAAAACAATTATTTTTAAACTAAAAAATAACATAAGCATAGTCAACCCATGGTATTTGTAATTTATACAATATTATTAAAGAATGTTAAAATTTTAATATACATTATTTCGACTTTCCTGAAATAATGTTTATTATTTTTTCTATTGTCTCAAAATCTTTATATGCTTTTCCTGAAAAACTGCTCATTTTGACTTGTCTTCCACAAGTGAAGAAAGAAAAAAATATCTCTATTTTCAATTTTGTAGTTGTAGGAATATGCTGAACATTTTTTAAACTTTTGCAATTTTCTAAAGTTTAGAGTTAACAGGGGAAAAAGACATATGCTATACTTATATATGGGTATTTTACTCTGTTCTTTCAGACTTTAAAGAAAAAAAATTGACATTTAACCCCTGGGTAATTTTCAAATTTTTTTTCAAAAATGGCTCCAATTTTTCATGTACATGCATGCCATACACATTTTTTTTTTGAAAATTTGAGTAGTTTTCGTGCAATGTATGCAATATTAAAAAATAACACAAACGAGAATTTAAAAAAAATTGGCTCCAGATTTTTCTTTAAACTTTTGAAAGGGATAGTGCTAAATA